AATCACCCCAACAAAAATGCCAAAACTGTATTTTTATAATGACTTTCAATGTATTGTTTTATTTGATACCCTAAAGGTTGACAATATTTAACAAAATCCTGAATAAATCAATACATCATGTCAGTGCAGAAAATTTTTGGTCTCTCATTCTTGAAAGACCAGTGGTGGAGTGTGGTGGGGGTGGGAAGATTCAGGGGAGAGTGCAAGAGGGACTTAAAGACAGTGATGGAGGGAAATAAACACTGCTGTGAAAGGTCTGGTGTTGGAATGTTGTGTGTATAAAATCCTACCCTTAGCAGTATTCTAAAATTATAAATAATAGCAACTAAAATATTTTTTTAAAAGAAGAAACCCGAGTGACATTCTGTTGCTTTTACAAAGTAGAAACAATACCCTTTTGGTGAATGTATGTCTACTCTTACATAACTAACTGACTTCAGAAACAACTCTCAAAGGCAATATCCACGTCAAGTCAATCAGATCAGTGACAACTACATCATAGAATTCTGTAAGGACTCTCTTCAAGAATAAGGCAGTCATCTTCCTAAACACCAACATTTTCTTCTATAACAACATGATACTAAGTTTGAAAGAAGATACCCAGGTCTCTGTGAATAAGATACCCAAACAAGGTTATCTAACCACTTTTCTTTTACAACTAAAACAAGCAGTATTTTAAGGAAAACTATTTTTCACTTGTAGGTTTTGAAAAAAAATATTTCAATGAAAGAATAAAATGGAAAAAGAGTAACAGAATGTAAGATGAAGAAAGAGATAATAGAGCAGGCTGGAGGGGAAAGTGAATGGGTGAAGGGTGCATGAGAGAGAAGTAGATTTCATGTGTTTGCTATTTCAAAAATAATAATAATGGTGTTCATTCCACTAAGACAGTAAATGTGGAAAATGTTTTTCTTTTCTGACAACTAGAGAGTAAATGGCTGCTGCAGTAATCTCAGAAATTACTGGTGATTTTGAGCAGTTTTGATATGAGAAGGCAGCATTCTGACCAATTTGAAATACTGCCCTCAAAGTGACCTAGATATTTTGTTTTTCAAAAATGGAATATCAGCTCCTGAACTAAAAAGTGATGATCCTGTCTTATGGATGCTGGACGGATATGAAATTTGGAAAGTGTCTTCCTGTACCTGTGTACTGGCTCAAGAGTGCACCCCCAAAGCAGTCAAGAGCAGCAATCATTTTTGAGAATCATTAACCTAACATAAAAGAAATTCTGCGTTGTGACCTCTACTAATGCCTCAAAAAGTTATAAGTGAATAGGTCTCCCTCCCTCCCTGCTATCTTCCCTTCCTTCCCCCCCCTCTCTCTCTATCTATCTATCTTCCCTTCCTTCCTCTCTCTTCCTCTCTCTCTCACTCTCTCATTCTCGCTCTCTCTCCCTCTCGCTCTTTCTCCCTCCCTCCAACCCTCCCTCCCGCCTCTCTCTCATTTTGGGGACATATCCAACTTTGCCCAGTGCTTACTCCTGGTTGGCCAAAAGTATGACAAGCACTTTACCTGTGGTCTTATCTCTCCAGCCTCTATCTAAATGGGTTTCTTAAGAAATTTTATTAGTTCTAATTCAAGTCTAGTTATGGCCTTGTGAAGGGAGCCCAGGAAGTCCTAAAATTAAAATTGCTAGGTCTCACATTTTATGATTTTTGAAATAAGATGCAATCAAATACACAAATGACATAATAACTATGATTCAATCACTTGCTTATGAAAAAAACAGCATTATAAATCACAAACTCAATAACACAGAATTTTTCCATGTAGATTTTTGAAATGTATTTATAATATTAAATGAAACCTAAGATTTCTCAAATTAAGCTAAAAAGTTACTGGAAAATATCCAAGATTGGCTTTTAAAAGTTTCAATCCTATCTCAAGACAGCATTCATTATTATTGCCTGCGGCCTTTGCTGTGAGTCACTGTCTCAGCCTAGACAATTATAGTCCAAACAACTGTACACTTTTCCATATTATAAATGTAGCCACTGTACATAATCCATAGGAAGATTATTGTAATAAATACATCAGACTAACAAGAAATTTACATGTGCCAGTTTTTAAAAGTGTATACCACCCTAGTGCTCATTCATTCTTTCCTATTACTTACAGACTATAAAGTTAAAATAGAAACAGCAGATACATAAATTTAGACTTTGTAAATTATCAGACTCTTGAGTAGCAAAAGAGAGATGTCTCAAGGCAGTGAAGGAGGAATATAGTGAAAACACCACAAATATTTCTAGTTTAAAAATCACTTCAACAGTGAAATGAAAGTGGCAGGAACTGTTAAATAGAAATTTCTCTGTCCATTCTCTCTCCTACTATTGAGCAAAGTACTGTAGGAATGAAGTTCTCGTCATGATTGACAAATATTTATTGTCAAAAAAATGTTCATTCATTAATGAAGTAGAAAGTTAAAATAACAGTATAGGTATTTGAGCTTCCAACTACTTGCTATTCCTCAAGTTAAATTTCCACATCTATTAAGAAGATATTAAATGTAGAGTGACAGAAAACAGAGGTAAGTCATGACACAAAATCCATGATGTCATACTGTGTAACACATAATCCACAGAATTATAATCATAAAAACATCAAACTAATACAAGAAATTTAAATATACTAGCTTTTTTATAGTGTATACCACCCTAGTATCCACTCATTCTTTCCTGTGCCTAACAGACTAAAAAGATGAAATAGAAACAGCAGGTACATAAATTTAGACTGTGTAAGTTGTCAGATATGTCTCATCTATCTTCACATATCATAGATTATTTGATTTTGTTCAATTTAATTCTGACAAACAACCAATAATATAACATTTACTTATATAAATCATCTGATATTTATTTATAGATCATTATTTGTATCACAAATTTTAAAAGTCATAATCAGAAAATATAAAGGCAATTCATATTATGAGTAAAATTCACCAAATTGAGTTATTTTCCAATAACAATTTAGCAAGGGAAATCTTTCAAAATAAGCTCTATGTATCATTAACTCTAAATGAATAGTTAAATAAAGGAAGGCAAAATAAGTAGCACAAGCAGTTGCAAGTTTAACCAACAAAATGAAGAATGAAGTATTATAGTTCTACTCTCTCTGAAGTGACCACAGTTCATTTACAACTGGCATATAGTGATTGGTGCTACACAACAATTTCTAGAATAAATTAAAAATAAATAATATAAAACTTAGGGATACTAAATAATCAAGTAATTATTTCTAAAACCCCTAGCCTTGTTTTTTCTTTATATATATGCTAATTGACTAAATGAGATATACCACACAAATTGATGCTACATTAAGCTTGTTTTCATCAAGGTAACTGTTATACAGCAGACTAATTCAGCCCTTAATCTGTTATAGGGAAATAGAAACTACCATATTTTTTTACTTAACAATAATGGCTAACTACTACAATTTCATATCCCAAAGCCCCACTTTTCACTTTGCATATGCCTTTAAAATAAAATTTCAAACCACACACCTTGCATCTTATACAATTTACAGTCATACTAAATAACAAAAGTATAAGCTTAAAAACCCTAAATAATTCTTTTCAGAACCAACACTGACATACATAATGTATATACATTCAGTTATTTCAATCATTGTAGGACTTAATAGCAATAATTTTGGTTCAAGTGGAAACTTTTTCTGATTTGCTAAGTTGGAAGAATTTAAAACTAAAATAATGACTAATTCTTAATTATTTTTATATCACACTGTTTTTTCCCAGCCACATAAAACACACACAGGTACATAATACAGTATTATCTATACGGCTAGTGATAAAAAAAAAAAAAGAAAAGAAAAACCAGCTAGAATTGCATCAAGATCTCCATGCACTTTCAAATTAAATCAATAGCAATATTTCCTCAAACACATATTAATAACCACTTCATAATCATCCTGGGAGATGTAGAAGGAAACTTTTCATTTAATTCTATTCAAGGTGGCAAGCTTTTCATCATTATTGAAAACCAATTCTGATACTCTAGTTGAAAAGACAAAGCAAACTTATTCTGGACTTTTCAATGAGCACACACTTCACAAAGCCTTTAATTATTTTTTTCCTTTTCCAGTGCTAGTGTTAACTAAAAAAAAAATTCTCAATAAGAATTATAGAAAGTGTACTAATAAAAAATAACATTAGCATAAAATGCTATCAACATGATTAGAACAGAACTTAAGGAATACTGCTTCCATAATTTTAATAAGACTATTGATCATAACCAGAGTGATGTTAACTAAGCAACCACTTTGAAGCACACATAATATTCACATACATCTTTTTTATGGTAGTTCAATATCTGGAATTTTTTTTTGCTGATAGTATTGCTCTAAAGTGCATAATTCAGGCAGATTGACTTGTGGCAAAATAATTTAAAAGGCACGTGATAGGTGCTAAGAATAAATGTACCCATAAGAAAAATGATAAAAATAACACAAAGTGGAGACTAATTTAGGCTAAGACAAAAAACTAAATGGAATTGTTTACTTAGGAGTGAAACTGATAAACCATCCATACAGTCACAAGCACTAACTCCTGCTGCACGCTAAACTGCAAAGTGGCCTATTTTTGATTCTAAAAGTTATATAGGTTTATATAATCATTAAAACTTAAATGCCTAGAGGAAGTCAGTCTTTTCAAAAAGCTTCTTCAAATTATTGTGAATAATGTAAAATTATGCATATATCAACAAAATATATGTGATGCCCTAACTTGCTGTTACTACTGATCACAATTTTTACAACCTACGTAGTAAAAATCAGCAGGAAAAATGTAGGGACAAATTATAACTAGCTTCATGTACTTCGTTATACCTGAGCATATATGCATCACTTATGTCATTGGTGGCAGTTATTAGTGATTTATGGGATTCCTGGTGACCACAAAATTTATATAACTCTGATGAGAAGGTGGTGATGTTAGAACACCAGAAGCTTCCCTTTTCCTATCAAAGTAAAGAAATTCTTACCTTTCTGTACACCAGCATGTTGGGTGATTCATCTGCCACCCCATTACTGGTCTGCCCATAATTATTCCCCTGGGCCATGTCACCCCACACTTGATCCACTCTCAGGTATAGGGATTTTTAGTCTGTTCTGCAAGGATAGAAAGACTTCAGTGAGATTCTCACGGTCATGCTTATGCAGATTAATTCTCTTGACTGAACTTCACCATCCACATTCAGCACCATTCACACTGAAAGGTGTTGACATATTGGGGTTGGCTAGAGGAAGTGGCACATGATAAACATTTTAAAACAAACCCCAAACCTCCAATTTTACAGCACAGTACTAATCAGAAAACAATAAAAATGGCTAAATTCTTCTTAAAATATCTTTATCTTGTTCTAACTGATTTGATTTGCTGTATATTCATTTTTAAAAAGTGCTTAATGCTCACTTAAAAAAATAATAATAATAAGCGCGGTTACCATATCTGTACTACAGAGGGTTCTTTTATCCCCATACTTGCATTTCTGCTTAATCTTCTCCCCAAAGGCCAGAACGAGACACCCACTGGTAGCACACCTTCTCCCAGATAATCTGTGAGATTATTCGCATCAGAGAGGAGAATCCCCTTGCCATTCTCCAGCACGAGCATTTCCTCTTTAATTCCCTGGGTCTCCGACACCGATCCCGAGGAGCTTCGCCTACTTTCACCTGCCTGCACAGCCGGCTACCGACTCCTTTCCTCTCAGCCCACTCTGCCTCTGAAGTCAGGCCACGGAGCCTGCCCATTCTGTGCAATAAGGCATCAGACGCTGTCTGGGCAATCAAGAACTGGCTGGAGGTCAATTACCAGGGTCAGCAGGGGCAACAACCCGAGTGAGAAGCCTCGAAGCAACAGTCGAAGGGAACCCAAGCAAGCCTCAGCTCACCCTGCTCGGCTCTCAGGCCAGCAGCAAATGGCAGGCGAACTGGTGCCCCGCGCCGCGGCCACAGCCTGAGCCGGGCAGCACTTTCAGCACCGTGGACCGCGGCGTGCGCTCGGCGTCCGCAGCCCAGTTTGGGCGCGGGGCTCCGGGGGTGGCCCCGCAGCGCGCTGAGCCCGGGGTGGGTGCGGGGCGGGGGCCTAGAGGGTTCGGTTCTGGTTGGCGCTGCCTCCTCCCTCCACGTCTCCCATTTACCTCCTCGGCCAAGGTCACGGCCCCGCGGCGTCTCCTTTCCCGGCTGGGTGCAGGCGGTGTCAGCTGGCTGCAAGCGGAACAGCGAGGCTGGGCAGCTTCATCACACTCCGTGGATGCGGAATCCGCCCGCCCAGCTCCCGCGGCTCAGATCACAGCCACCCGCGCCGCCGTCGTGCACAGGCGATCCCGGCAGCCTGCCACTCGCGCCCGCTCCCCGGGGCCGCCTCGCCGGTTCGCTCTCTCCTCCGCTTTTTCTGCTGGGCACTGGGACCAGCCGAGTGCGCGCGGGATGCCAGACGCCCGGCCCGTGCGCGCGATCGGGAGGGAGGAGGGGACAGTCACGTGGGACCAGGGCGTCCAAAGGTGCGGACTGGGAAGGGCTCGACTTGGCGCGGTCACACTGCCCCGGCCGCTCGGGTCTCCCCCACCCCTGTCGCCCCCGGGGAGCAGCAGCCCTGCCCTTGTCGCAGCCAGCGGGCGCTCTCGCACACCCCGCCCCGGTGTATGTACCCGCCGCTGAAGGCCTGGAGAGCTGAGCCTAAAGCTGACTGTAAGCCAAGGAAGGGAGGAGGGCGGTGGATGGATGGAGGATGGATGGATCCGTGGATGGATGCATGGTTGGAGAATGGATGGATGGATGGACGGAAGGATGGAGGGTGGATGGATGGATGGATGGATGGATGGATGGATGGATGGATGGAGAGACGGGCGGGCGGAAAGAAGATGGGGGATGGAATCCCATGCTCACTGCTGGTTTCATCACGTTTTTTGGTGACTGCCAGCTTGTATGGGGGAAGCAGATGATTGATTGCTCTAAGTAACCGTAGAGAGATACTGAGAAGTCTCCGGAGCAAGGAAATGCCCAGAGCCGAATGAGTCATACATTGCCTTTGCTGGAGCTTTCACAGTTTCCTCCTAAGTTCAGAAATGGGAAGGATTTGGTGTCTGCCAATTCGAGGTGAACAGCTTGTCTCCTGTGGAACTGAAGCAGCATCCTCACTGCCTGGTTTCTCCCTTCTACAAAAGGTATTTAGAGGAAGTTTCCTCTCACACACTGCTCTCATCTTCTAGCAGTTTTAAAAGAGACCCCGGCATGCTGACACCAGAAATATTCTTCAGTTTGCTGTCAACAAATTTTCTGCAAGAATTATAACTGTGTAAAGAAGAAAAATCACTTTTGCTCCATTTATAGCAAAGAAGCAGGTGTTCCTAGTGTTCCTTTCTTGACTGGGCTAGAAGTGAGGAAGATAAAGAAGATAATCAAATCTGCCCCTTCTTAATCTCTGGGACTAAACAGGATAGAATTTGCCCCTGCTATAAAGATACACAGTAAAATAAAAACAAATGGCCAACGTACTGCTGCAGGTGAGGCAGAAGTAGTGACGGCAATTCTCTGTTCATTGGCAATTCCCAAGGTCTTCAATACTTTTAAGAATGAATATACTGAGTAATAAAGATGTTCAAACTCAGAGTTGGAAAGTAGAAAGGTTTATTGAAAAGAAGGCAGGGTGGGAAGGGGAAGATGGGGGGTGGGAGGGATACTGGGACCCGAGGTAGTGGAAAATGGGCACTGGTGGAGGGATGGGTACTTGATCATTGTATAACTGAAACCCAAGCACAAAAATTTGTAAGTCTACAACTGTACCTCATGGTTTTTCTCTAATAAAAATTAAAAAATAAAATAAAATCCTTCTCATGTGGAAAAAAAAGAAGAAAAGTCGGTGAGAAAAGAAAAGGAGCTCCCCAAGTGCGGAGAAACTTGTATAGAACTAAGTTAAAAGCAAGAGTTTGTGTAGGAATTTTCTAAGGACCTATGCATTCCTTATCAATTGACAAGTATTGCAGAGAAATCAGTGAATCTACATGGTGATTGGGCTAGTTTGATTCTTTCCGGCCATCTGCCTAAGGTATTGTCCATTATCTTAGTTTTCCTGTGAGCCTAAACTCTGGAGCAGAATTTTAAGATTAACAATTAATCTTAATCCCTGTCTATCAGAAAAAGCCAAGGAATTTGCAGGGAGCCCAAAATGTAGAATGGACCAGTCAAAAGCGGGACTGCTCATAGCAGCTGGCAAAACTTCCCTCTTTCATCCCTCTCTCCTCCACTCTGAAATTAAGTCCTGACTGCTATCAGGAAATGGAGTGTTGAATCCCTCTGGCTACTTCATGCTGAGTTTGGGTGTAGCTCACATAGGGTCCCCATGCAGTCAGGGAATCTTAGGAAGAGGAAGGCCTGGAGGTTCAAATTACCATGCCTCAGTTGTCTGCATCCATAGTTCTGCATTAATCACCATCTGTAGTGTGATGGACTCAAGTCTGGAGGAAACAAACCTGACAAGAAGGTTATAACAGGTGCTATGACAAGCAGAGATCCACCACGGAACCAAGAAGAGGAGGACCCAAGCCAGTCAAAACCAAGTATTTTTCCATGAAAACAACCTTTGAGAAGCTTGCTCTCAGTATTGGAAGGCTTTGTTTATAGATTGACAATAAATCCATATTTATCTAGACTTATTCACCAAGACGCAATGTTCCCTTCCAAGTATAGTACACATTGGATAGACTGAAATGACCTCGTGTTTAGGGAATGAGTATAATATTTGGAGGTCAAAGGCCAATTGTGTCCCCAGGATAGAGAGCCCTTTTAGGGCCTGGAGCTGAAACACAGCCATTAAAATAAGGGAGAGAGTGCTGAGATGATTATATTCTGATGTCAGTCATATAGATTTTCAGACTGATCCTAGGTTACCCAAGTTACCAAGCATTACCAAGGCCACCATTGTGACATTTCATACTGTCAGTCCAACCATGCAGGGGCATGGTTGAGGGGACCCTGAGACAATAGTGGAGGAACGGGCACACTGGTAGAGGGTATGGTGGTGGAAAATTGTATGCAAGAAATGCTACTGATTTACACTGTGAATTGAAGTGCCTGAAATAAAATAACATAATGTTTTAAAAATAAATACTAAATTTTTAAAAAGAGAAAAATGAGTTTTCCCTGGTCAGAACAACCATTACAACTAAACCTTGTATGGGTGATTGGGATCAGGGGAGAAGTGAGCGCATTCCCTCAATTCCCTCAGGCTCTGGTCAAATTTTACTATATATATATTTATATTTGTATAGCATATATTTGCATGTTATATGCATATGTTTATATATGTATATTTACATAACTTATTCAAATATTAAAATAAAATATTAAAGAGATCTCTGACTCATCCCTGGTGGCAAAATAGTTTCGCTGGGTAATGTGAAAATTCCATTTTTTTAATTTTTTAATTTTTATTTTGTTATTTTATAGAATCACAGTGATATACATAGTTAGGACGTTGATTGAGTTTCTCAGTTATATAATGTTCCAACACCCATCCTTTCACCAGTTTATATTTCCCCCACCAATAATCCCAGTTTCCCTCCTACTACCCACCCCGCCGCCTATGCCTATAGCAGGCACTTTTCCTCTCTCTCTCTCTCTCTCTCTCTTTCTCTCTCTCTCTCTCTCTCTCTCTCTCTCTCTCTCTCTCTCTTCTCTCTTTCTCCACCCTCTCTGCCTTATTGTTTGCAATACAGATAATGAAAGATTATCAGGTATATTCCTTTACCTACTTTCAACACTCAGTTTCTGTCCAAAAAGATAGTTTCCAGCTTTTATTGTCATGTTGATCCCTTTTCTATCCTAACTGCCCTTCACCCCCACACACTCTTGCGGCAAGCTTCCAACCATTGACCAGTGCTCCTGATCCCTGTTTACCCAGGACTTGGATATTAGTTCCATTATATATATATATATATATATACGTATATATATATACACAAACACATATATATATGAATGAAAAATGTGTGCCAGAAATACTACCGATTTAGACTATAAGTTGCAGTGCCTAAAATAAAATAACATAATGTATATTGTGTTAATGTTAATATATAATAATGTATATATAAAATCCACAAATGAATGCAATCATTCTATACCTATCCCTCTCCTTCTGACTCATTTCACTCAGCATGATACTATGTCCATCTATTTATAAAAAAATTTCTTGACTTAATTCTTCCTAACAGCCGTGTAGTATTTCATTTTGTAGATGCTCCAAAGTTTCTTTATCCATTCATTTTGTTCTCAGGCACTCGGGTTGTTTTCGGATTTGGCTACTGTGAATAGTGCTGCAATTAACATAGAATTGTAGGTAACATTTCTGCTGTGTTTTGGGGAACCTTGGAGTATATTCCTAGAAGGGGTGTTCCTGGGTCCATTGTGAGCTCAATTTCTAGTATTTTGAGCAATGTCCATATTGTTTTCCAAAAAGGCTGGACCAGTCAGAATGCCCACCAACAATGAAGAAGAGCCCCTTTCTCCCTGCATCCATGCCAGCACTCGTTGTTCTTGTTCTTTTGGATGTGTACCAGTATCTGTGGTGTGAGATAATATCTCGTTGCTGTTTTGATTTTCATGTCCTTGATGATTAGAATGTAGAGAATTTTTTCATGTGCTTTATGGCCATTTGAATTTCTTCTTTGAGGAAGTTTCTGTTCATTTCATCTCCCGGTTCTGTGATGGGGTTGAGTGGTTGTGTTTGTTTGTTTGGGGCGGGGGTGGGGGTAAGTCCTACCAGTGCCTTATGTAACTTTGATATTAACCTTTTACCAGATGGGTATTGGGTAAATGAAATTATTTTTCCCCATTACTTGGGCTGTCTTTGTATCTTGGTCACTGTTTCTTTTGAGGTACAGAGGCTTCTTAGTAGTATGTAGTCCCATTTGTTTATCTTTGCTTCTACTTGCTTGGGGAGCCGTGTTTCATCTTTGAAGTTTCCTTTAGCCTCAAGAAAATTGCATTTTTAGGGGCCTGGAGTGATAGCACAGTGGGTAGGGCATTTGCCTTGCACACGGACGACCCAGGTTCGATCCCCAGCATCCTATATGGTCCCCTGAGCACTGCCAGGAGTAATTCCTGAGTGCAACGCCAGGAGTAACCCCTGAGCGTTGCTGGGTGTGATCCAAAAAAGGGGAAAAAAATAAAGAAAAATTGCATTTTTAGGTCAAATTTTTATCTCAAACATTTATAGGAAAATTGGATTCAATGTTTTGGAATATTGCCTCAACATTTTTACCCCAGCAGAAGCCTCCTCTCCCCCATTACCTTCTCTCTCACACTGTCCATTCTGCCAATGGAAAATTGACATGAATTGTATTAATAAACTTTGAAAATATAATGGGATAGACGAACTCATTCGGTTTGGCCATTTTTATTTCAGGGGGAATTGCCTGAAGGAAGCTGACTCTTCTTTGTGCCTTTCTCAAACCCATTTTTCGAATGGTATCATTGCAGTAAAGTTTACTCTATTATCTCATTTTATATGATATACCATCCTAACA